AAGCAGCTGATTTAGAAAAGAGACTTTCACAGCCTGTAATCTGTTTCTCATAATTCTGTTCCTGTTCCAGATTCTCCTTGGAAAAGAACACATCCAGTGGTTTTTGTACCAAGCGTTAGTGACCCATCGATCTGCACCCTGAAATGGACTTGTCTCCCAGTGACAGATCTCGCAGTCCTCCTTTGTATGCATTCTTAATCAAATACACTGCTCTTACTTTATTAAGTTAGACAAGCTCACTTCAGATAAGCCTGTCTTTTTAAGCCACCGCAGAGGGGGGAAATCAGCCCCCCGGAGGTGATGAGAGTTGACTCTGGGAGCCTGAGATGCAAGCTTTAGGTCGCTGTGTTATTGTGTGAGGCTTGGCCCCGGGCTCCAGAGAGAATCACTTCCTCTAATGGAAAACTATTGTCTGCCACTGAGCACATACAACTGTGAGGAATACGGATCAGCCTATCTGGACTTATGCACAAGACAGAATGAAGCTCTCTCTCCCGGTGGAAAGCTATTTTGGAATTGTAATATCCACTGAAGTCGATTCTGATTAAGCAATACATCTGGGATGGACTGTACTCTTGTGTGTGTGGCTGGGGGATGTTTTCCAGCTTTGGGAAATGCGTACCAGAAAACCAACAAAACAGCATAAAAGAAGAAAAAAAAACAGCTACTCTTTGTGCACTGTCCCACATTGTAACTCTGGCAATGAGACTAAACATGAAAACCTGTCATAACAATGCAACAATAAGGCACTTGGGGAGTGATTTATTCATTGGAGTGGATTGAATATAGGTTAATGAGCACATAAGATTAGAAGTGTCTCAAGAAGTATGACGTCATCTCCTCCGAGCATATCGCATGATTTTTTTGACTCATCCGCACTAGTAGGTGACGTTTAATGTCTCACATAAGTGGTAGACTCGTTCTTTTTACCGAGAGCCTAAATCAAGACATTCAGCGGGCAGGTTCACAGTCAGTTCAGAGCACACCTGTGTGTATGTAAAATGTATACAGAGCCAATGAAGCTCTGAAGAAACTATTCCCCGACAGATCGTCCCCGAGGATGTGGAACTCCATTTGCCTTACAGGCCCCGTTTCCTCTCCCAACTCCTTACTCCAGAGAATGGCGATGTGTGATACATGCATTATCTTTCCACCCTCTCCCTCCCCCCCTCTTGTTTCTTTTTTGTATCTCCACAGGTCATTCCATTTTGTCCCCTGCAGGTTTCACCTCAGTTCAGGCTGTGGAAAATTTTAAAGTCGGAGATTTGGCCACCGAGCAGCTCCTTTGTGAGGTTGGATGGCCTTTTTCTGGATTTGGTTTGACATTGTGTGGGCTTGAATGTTTGGAGGGAAGCTCCTGTGTGGGTTTTGTCAAGTCTATTAGGAGAGGAGAGAAGAGAGAAAGAGGAACAATGTAAGCTTTAAAAAAAAAAAAAGGGAAATTAAAAGCAAAGAAGGACAGTTAGGGTCTGTCCTCTTATCACATTGTGATAGTCAGTCAGGCATTACGTTCCTCTACTTTGTATAAGCACATGAAATAATTTCAAAGTAGAGCTGCAAGGATGACACAAAGTGCTCTCATACACTTATTGTATAGGTTCAAAGTGAGGCACAGAATCCAGGGGGACAGGAATCCCCTTTTATGGTGGTGTGGAAGGGCATGTTAGGAGAGCTGAGGGTCAAAATCTAAACAAGCGGCGATTTCTAAAGGATTTCTCAAGCTTCAAAAATATATTTCCACATTAAACATCCGTCAAGAGAGCATCAACTTTCCTCAAAGTCACATAAATATTTGATATGTCATGATAACACTGTGTCCTCTGTGGAATATTGTATTTTGTACTTGCTTTGGGTTTTTAAGCGAACACCGAAACAGGTGACACCATCATTTGAGATTTTTTTTTTTACCGAGGGTCAAACCTTCATCTGGTGGGGATCTCATTTTACTTACCCTGACCCTCGGGATGCAGACAGTCTCGGTTTTGAGCCTACCGCTCAGCCTAACAGTTATAAAACTGCTTATAATTCATGCTCATTTGTTACATATTTTCATCAATGAAAAAACAGTGTCATAACTGAAAGTCGATGACATTATGCAATCAGCCTTTTTTGTTTCAGACCATTTCCAAAGTGTTACCTTGATTAAATCTCTTCATTCAAAATATTTTGACCCTTTAAATTTTTTCCATACAGTGTATAAAAAAATAAGCTTTATATGAAGTCCTGCTTTAACCAACTGAGACAATTTAGCACAATCAGGTCCTTCCTTCCTCCTGCTGACTTATTAAAGGTTAACCAAGCATTTCTTTCTTCCATACTCTACAATTGTAGTGCACTTTATTCCAGCATCAGCAAGCGTAACATCCAAAGACTGCAATTAATTCAAAACGCTGCTTCAGGGCTTTTAACGCATAGCGAGAGAAGTGACAACATCACTCCTGTCCTTGCTTCCCTTCGCTGGCTACATGTGAGTTTTCAAATTGATTATTCAGATCGTATTGCTTGTTTTAAAAGCCTTACAGTTAATTACCAGGTTCTACTCTATATCTGTGGTTTTATCAGAAACGCTACTTGTCAACAGGCCACTGCTTGGGGCCCAAGACCAGTAGGCAGCACAGAGGGCTGACAAACTTTGTACCAAAGCAGCGCCCAAAATGTGCTAATTTTGCAATGACAGTAGGAAACCTCCCTAATGGGGCCCCATCTGACAGCACTCACTCTAATTGCCGTGCTGAAGCTGGTTGGAGGGCCCAAATGGATTCTAGAATCGCCACTGGGTTTTATAACTCCCTATGAGCCTGACCCCTGCCTGAGATCTTCCAGCAGGGTTCCTTAAACTCGACTGGTCACAAAAGGGGGACAGAGTCTTTGACCGAGCTGTGAAACCTAGAGATCTCAGAGAAGGCAAACTCTGTATCCTCTTTCAATTTCCCTTGAAAAGGGGCGCAGGCAGTGCAGTGGTTAACGCACGGGCCACATGTACGGAGGCTGTAATCCTCCTGGCGGGCGACCCAGGTTAGAATCCGACCTGGGGCGCCTTTCTCGCATTTAATTCCCCACTCTCTCTCTCCCTGATTTCCGACTCTATCCACTTTCCTATTTCTACAATTAAGGCACTAAAAGCCCCCCCCCCAAAAAAAATCCTTTAAAACTAATTTATACTCTTGTTTTTTTTAATCAGCGTTTTATTGTTGGGTCTCATTTACATTTATTTGCATTATATATTTGTCTTTGTGTGTTTTTTTGTGTCGCCTTGTTTAAACTGAAAAGCACTTTGTTAAATGGTTTTAAAAAATGTAATTTAATGAAATGTATTTATAGTAGTAAAGTTATTATTGCATCATCATTGGTAAGATTTTCAATAATCTGCAAGGGCCATTAGATTTAACCTTAGAGCATCTCGTGTGTTTTAACCTCACAGACCCAGAACTGTCAGTACAGAATCAAGTTAACAGGAAAATCCTTTATATCCTCAAATGAGACAATGTGTATCATCACACTAACTAAAAATAAACTGCTATTAAGGCACTTGGACACATTATTGATGCTCAAAAAATTGTTGACCCTTATTTCACCCTGATCTGAGATATTTATCGCTTTAAAAGCACAAAACATGACATATAGCTTGCATTTTTAACATTTAAAAGAACTTTGCAGAAAAATGGTCAAGAGCCCGATTTCAAACATCTCGGATGCTCTTAAAGAATCCCTAAAGGTCCATTGCATCCAATGGCAGCGCTTTTATATATTTGACTGTTTTTTGACCCCACACTTTCATTAGAGTTGAATTATTAAATGCAAACAAAATCATCCTTAACATGGAATGCATTATTCAATGAACAACATACCTTTAGCACCATCGAGATACTGGTATGGATGGCCTTATACAGCCAGGTCATCCACCTGGAAAGGAATATAAACACCACCATGACCATGCAAGTTAACAACATGAACATAGTATACAGGTCATATCATGAAAACATCGCACAGATATCATATTTTATGGTTGACTTATTGTAACAGAGGATAGGTTTTATCAAAGTCTTAGGATACAGTTATTTCACTACACAGTTTGTTAGAATATTACTGCTATTTATCATACTTGTTTACACTTTTGTTACAGATATCTAATTATTCCCAGTTTCGTGGCTAGATTACGGACTTAACAGAGACAGGAATACATATTACATTTAAGTTTAGAGAGGTTTTATGTTAATCTACGTTAGGGGAGAGGTTAAACTGGGTCAGGTTGTTTACCTTGTGGGATGGAGGTCTTTTTAAACAGCTACTGCCATCCTCTCTCTGCGGAGGTCAGCTGGGGGTCATTTAGAGTCTCTTTAATGGACGGGGCAAAGGCAGGCTCTTTAAACGACTGGGAGAGGGTCACATGACCGGAGGAGAGCAGAAAGAGCAAAACAAGAAGAGAGAGCAAAACCACCCCCCCATCCACCCCCAACCCAATACCCATACCGATGCGAACACTTTCCTAGAGGTCAAGGAGGCTTTCATGCAGCGCTACACGCTGTTTCTGTTGGGAGTAAACACTCAGAGAGTTAATGTGTGTTTACTGATGATGCCTGACGTGATCAGCGACCGCCTCACATCGAATTATATGAACAAACAGAGTGGAGCCCGTTTCAAGAGTGCCGATGTTGTTATCGCTAAACCCTTTTAAATCTCAGTCGGGGAGATTTCCAACAAATTCATCACATGGTGTTCAAATACAAATAGGAAAGCATTCTTATCAGATTACAAAGGTCAATTAAAGGTCAAACACAGCCTCACGCTGTATGTAATACTGTCTGATACAAATTTGGAATTTTATTCATACATACTGCATATGTTTTTTTTTTGGGGCAGGGGTTTGGGTTTCGATTGCGTTAATGCTCCTGTCTTGTAGGTAGATATGAGAAACTGTCCAGCCTTTGTTGTTTGGGTTTGTTAGTTTAAATTATAAAGCTTTTTTAAAAGTCCATAATTATTCTCTTGCAACACAAGTGTTTTCTTTCAAAATGTTTATTCAGCATCAACAAAGAAGAAAAATATTAAAGGGCTTACATAAGCTCAAAATCAATATGGTTGAACAAATCTCTAGATGGGTATGACGACTAATTCACCAGCGTGTGATGTAGGACCCTCAAATGGATTATTATGCCAAAAAAAATCTTGTATTGAAACCAAATAATGACATCAAAATGACTGATTTAAAAATATCTTTAAAGGAATCACAAAATAAATGGGAAAAAAAGCTCCTCGACTGTTACGCAGCTCTGGTTTTGTTGGGTATACATAAAGTCTGAGCGGTTATTTATAGATGTTTTTAAGTGGATGTTTTTCGGGGCTATTATGATGATCACAACTACATGTTTTTTTTTTGTTTTTTTTTAATTTCAGAATAAAACAGCTGACAATATCCACAGTTGCACACCATGCTTTTATAAGCCCTTTAACACTAACAAACTATTATCTTACAAAAAGGAGGAAACAGCAAAACAATATGTTAACAGTTTGACTCATCTCTTTTTTTCAGTTGTAAATCTTTCATTTACAAAGGGACACAATTGCACCCATTACCCCTCAGAAAAGAAATATCTACAGTACTGCACTTTCCTAGAGCTAAGCTACTACATTTTTAAGTGATCAACCACGCAGTTCAAGGTCTGAAGAATAGAGGGTTATAAATTAAGTCGTACTGGCAGCTGTGTAGAAACATTGTATCGACAGCAGCTTCGACTGAGTCATTACTGAGTGAAAGAGCTTGATACAATGTCATTCTTCACAATCACATAGCTGAGAGAGAAACTTAATGTACTACGGAATCTGTCTTCATCTCAACATCCAGGTGATTTGTAATAGAGGAAGGGATATATTACTTCAATTGCTTGACATATTTTTACCCAGTGGGATTATCTTTTTTTATATAATAAGGGAGTAACATTTTTCGAAAACAACTTTTGACTCATTAGTCAGTCTTAATTTTTCACCGTTTCTGTTTTCTTATTTTTAGTTCTCAATTCTAAAAAGGTGGGAATGTCCATAAAAAATCCATTACTTGGGTTGAAACAGCCATGAGGACTCTGGTGTTGGTTGTATAAACAGTTCAATATCTGGTGTATGGCTGTTCTCTGTACACTCCCTTGGTTGTTCGTGCTGATGGTGCTTTGCCACGATTGTTCGCCCACTCTTCCACACCTGGTTTGGAAGAAAAAAAGGAAAGAAACAGGAGAAAGATTGATTACAAGTGTGTCCAAAAACATTCATTCATTCAATTTATAGCAACCTTACAGTCCAGGGTGTACCCTGCCTTTTGCCCAATGACAGCTGCTTAGCTGCAGCCCCCTGCAACCCCCCATGTTTCTGGAATGACAATAAATTAACTTTAAACCTCGAACCAATGTATTTCTTTTCACACATGCAAAAAACTCCTGATTTTTCTTTAAAGGCATTTTCAGGGTGAGCTGCTTGTGCAGAAAAAATGTTTCACTCCAATTTTTTCCAGACTTTTCCAGCCAGCCCCCTTGTAAAGATTTCAACAGGAAGTTGGGATGAACTGATGTGGGAACAAAGCAGGAAATATTCAGGAAAATGAACTGCTAGCTGAAGCGGCTTCATACCCATTTCTGATTGCCATGTTTCGTTTCCAATCATTTTTTTCCCACCGTGGATTCATGTGGTTACACAAAGCATTACAAAAAGAAAAAACATTGTCATAAAAGTAGCGCCGATAACCTAGTGGTAAGTGACCGCGCCCTATGTATGGAGGCTGTAGTCCTTCAAGCGGTCGGCCCGGGATCAAAAACGACCTGTGGCTCCTCTCCTGCATGTCATTCCCCACTCTCTCTCTCTCTCTCACTCACCAGACTCCTAACCCTAACCCTTTTGGTTGGTTCACCATTTTGGGTTACAGCAGCATAAGTCATGTCTTGCCAACTGAGATATCACCCCCCCTCCTCTCAGACAGGGAACAGTTCACACTAGCTGGTGGCAACACATGATATTAAGTAACTCGGATTGATTTTAGGGGAAGGCTGTCCTGAACAGCTCTAGACATTTCAGGAATGCATGTGTGAAAACAGCTTGAGTCTATTTAGCAAATCCTGTATTGAGCACTGTGAATGTGTGGCATCAATAACCCTCATCTTATAACAAAAGCGCCTTTTTCATGTCGGGAATCAAACAGCGATTCACACTAAGACACTTGACTTTCACCTGGAAGGATGCATCACAGATAATTGAATGAGAAGATCAAATAGCTACTTGAAAAGAACCCGTTTAGTGTCTCCCAGCAAAAAGGTCACAATTACCATTAGCCCAAATCAGCCCCTGTGTTCCCCCTGGTACTGTCAATGTGAAAGTGCCAGTATCGATGGCACCCTTTGTCTGATCTTCAGCCAGCGCTGAGAGTTCCCTTGAGCTGAGGCTCACAAAGGGTTGTTGTTTTTTCTATGTACAGGCTCTCTGTTGGCAGCACATAGCCAATACTCCTTAATTAAACCTGTCACCCTTTCACTGACAGACACTTTGAAGAAACAGACCAAGGTTACCTTGTGTTTCGAGAACAAGGATTCACATCAACGCCGTTTATCTGTTTTCCTTTGAACTGTCGACTTTTGGCTGTGTGACCCATGCGGCAGTGCTTTTTATTTCATGTGCAGGACTGCAGCACTCTAATGAGCCGAAGGTTCTTAGTTCTCTCACGTGGTTGGTTCGGAAAGTTGGTGAAATTTTTATAGCTTTGACTAATAAAAAAAAAAGAAAAGAAAAAAAGACTGAACCAATTTTAAAGTCTGGGCTCAATATATGTTATCCTCCTTATGCAGAGGAAACAATTAAACATGTTTATTTCTTGACATATTATTCATATACATATTTTAAAACCCCAAACCTTTGTGTACAAAAAGACATCAACTTCACACCAGCTCCAGACATGACAAATGAAGCAACAATGAATCTCCTTTCTACCATTTAATTTTTTTGCCATTCTTATAATTTCCATAGTTGTTATGTATAAGAAGTTTGTTCCATCATTTAGAATGTTAATGGATTCCAGATCTGTATTTGATTGGTTGGCCCACTTGAAATAACAAAGTAATAACCCTGAATAGCCCCATTGCGGTCTGTGCTGTACTATATGTTGCCTAGACTATCATTGGAGTGCACTCTGCAGCAAGTATGACCTTGGCCCATTTTTTTTTTTTTCACCTGTCAGAAGCTGACACAGTATTGTCAGTGGTTTCAACTTCGTCTGAACTCTGGCAAATGGAGCTGTTCACATCACAAGATAAACTGTCTATGCACCAGACACCACTCATTCAAAGTGGCATTAAACATTAAACAGTTATGTTTAGCTGATTGCAGGAGCAAGGCATAACCAGGCAGTGCTTGAAAAAGATGATCGAGATTTCGTTAACTGGGGATGAGCGTAAATATATGAAGCCAAGCATGATGTCCTGATGAGCACTCGTCTAATGTGAGCATCCATACTTAATTATACTCTGCTAAGACAAACACAACAGGCCCTGTTGTACATCTGACGCTTTTAGGGTACAGGCGAAGTGTCAGTTGTATTTTCCACCTGATTCAGTTGCCTCTTTCCCAACCATCGCATCCCTTTATGTAAATAGCAAATACACATGCATCTAGGTAAGCGACCTTGGGCGTCATGGAGAGGCACAGGGGTGGCGTGTTCCTGCCTTGAGGACATAATAAGCTACTTAATAAACTGCTGAATAACTGCCTCATAATCTAACTGAAACATGGTCTAAAGCCAAAAATCCATGTTTCAGTACTTGCCTGCATTTAAGAAAGGCGCATCAACATGGGCATAAAAAAGACTCATGCCCTGCACAGACTAAAAACTTCACCTGAGGCCGAAACCATGCTGTCCAGCGTGTGCTCTCTCTGTATTACACACTCTTTACACACATGGCTGTTATGCACACAATAGAGGGCATAGGTAGGCATTTAGAAAAAGCAGCAGCAGCAACAATAATAGGCAAACAACAGCCAACTTCTGTGATATTAAACACATGGAACGCTAGTCAACTTTTAATCCTGTCTGACTGTGTCGGCGTGTCTGGAGATTTTAATAATGAATGAAGTTAGTCATACAGTGACATGTGGGTGGTCTGTGTGTTACGGGGCCCAATGGATGGAGAGAAGATACATGAGCCGGGCAGAGTATGAACTATTCATGAAAAAAGACTGAAATCTGTGCCTGCCTGTAGGCACACCTGGCCATTTAAGAGCTGACACTCTGTTTGGTTTGAATCATGTTACTCCCAAAACACACCTTTGCCATAATCAAGCCACTTCTTCCAACCTCTTTAGCTCCGTGCTCACTTACCCAGGTTGTGTGACACTTAACTAAAAGTAGAGAGCGTTAGGTAAGCGCTTTAGATAATTTAAATAGGGCCATACATGTAAAAGAAGGTAATAACTCAAGTACACAATTTGCATTATAATAGGCTTCAAATTCCTACAATCTTCAGACTTATAAAGACCATTTAGTCACAGCTTTATTTGAAAAACCACACCCTCCATAATTTGCTTTATCACTGGTTACTGTGGCTGTAACATATTGGTTAGCATTGTGAGCCTGCAGGCTGCTTGAGGGGTATTTACTTCCTAACCTCCTTTAAACTGTCACTGTTTGAAAACGTCAAAGTGCTTCGTAAGATGCACGATCAGCTTATTTGGTATTAGAAATATTTAACAGTCAAACAACAAAATGAATCACTAAGGCCAGTGAACAATTTACCGTGCTTGTATATACTATATTATTCTTCTGATTACCTGCACTTTGGTCATTACTTCTGCTTATTCCACTTATATTTCTATTTTTTATTTTATTCTATACTTTTATATTTCTTTATATTGTGTTTGAGAGCAACTGTAACGACCACATTTCCCCCCGGGATGAACAAAGTATTTCTGATTCTGATAGTAAAATTGTTATTCTAAACATACAATATGTAGAATTTTTACACTAAAATATCTAAATTAATTAAAAATTGACCTAACCTATGATATACATTTTTATTGTCGTGGCTGCCCAAATGACAGAGTGGCCATAACAGACACATGTTTATTGTTGCCGTGGAAACACTGGATATTACGCCATACCGCTGCATAAGGAACTGATGGCAACTGAGTAAAATCCAGCAGTGTGGCATCAGAACTACAAACTGATGCTTTGACAATTGACAAAGAATAAAATGTAAGAGAGGTCTGCAACTCACCATAAGAATCATATGATTCCTCACCCTGTCCGTACTCATAGTAGTCGTCTGAGCTGTGAACAGAGAGAACAGTGAAATGAGTATTGGAATAAAAGTGAAAGAAGAGAAACACAGCACAAAGTGCAGGAAAGAAATTGAAGTTATGAGCAAACAAATGGAATGTTTATTATTTCCTGTTGTATTGTCAAAGATCAAAGGGATATTTACAATGATTCAATTGGATATAATTTATGCAGTGGCAATAAAGACAAACACACAGGAAGTGGTTCTGCAGATAGACTCAGCTGAAAATAACACAAAGTAAAACACAAAGTAGAGGCAGCTTTCAATCGCTCAAAGGTTCAGCTGCATTTGTGGTTCTACAAGGCAATTTCCTCGGGCATATTACTGCACAAACTTCCAGTTCCAAATCACTGCATATGGAGATCTATGGGAGGAGGCATCTTTAATGAAAAATAAAAAGATGGGGAGGGGGGTTGCATAGCGGTTCATTTCTCCCTTATTTCTTTATTTGCGGTCGCAGGTGAGATGCTGACAGAACAATCCTGCCTCGGTATCATTCAGTAACAGCGCTATCATTCAAGAGAGGCAATTCATCATAAGGCTGCCACTGAGCCGACACCAGCCATCACAGCTGGGTCCTCTCCGCCTGCCTGTCAGTCAGTCTGTCAGCGACAGCAGCACCTCTCTGCTCGCAGGATTAGAGAGCTGAAGGCACCATCTAAAAACTAACACACCGCATCAACACCCCCCGACGGCTGAGGGCAAAGAGGTGACGGTAATGTCACGCCACAGTCCAAGTAACAGATTACATTTTTGCACTAGTAACTGTAATGGAGTAGCGTTTTTGGTGGTGTGATTTTAAAGAGCCAAACTGGAGTCAGAGAGGTTGAGACACTCCGCTCCTCTATCAAATTACACCGCAGTTTGCAGCACTCCAGGAGATCAATTTCAACAAATTCAGTCTGCTATTAAGTCTGCTTTTCACTGAGCAATATCCACTTCATAAAAAAGAAGCTGCATGATGATGAATGTTTTCAAGTAATTATACATCTTCACATCAATTTGTAATATTCTCTATTTATGTTTCACAAATTCACTGACACACAGAAGATAAATGTCAGTGTTTCACTTTGTTAATAGCGCTACTGTCATGGAGGAGCGTTACATGAAGGGCCGTCATAGCTTCAAGATCTGTAGAAAAAAACAGAAAGCTAAGAGTTGTTGTGACTTTGCAACAGAAATTCCTCTCAAGGTTTTGCAATCTCTGATTTTATGACAGTCAACAGTTGTAAAAATCCATCTAGTATGCTGCAAAAGGAGTTGTTCACATCATGCTGGATAATACAATTAAGCCCGGTTATGAAGCTCAATTAGGCCGTTGCTCTACTTCAGCATTGGCTGTGGAAATCTAGTTTGCTGTTCCAGCTAAACAGAATAGGTAATGTCAGCCCACTTTTTAGACCTTCTTAGTGTTAATCATTGGCTCCAGTTAATTCTAACAATATCAGACCAAAGCATCGACAAGCTCATCAAATTACAAAAACCCTTTTCTGTTATTTGTAAGTACAGGTAATATGGATCAGTACAGGTTTTGATACTCTTCCTGTCTAAGATATTTGCCATCACTTCATGTGAATACAATGTACGTAAATGTAGGTTTGACGATACCTTTTACAGCACTGAAAAACTGCATTAAACCCTCCGAGACCCACTGTTATACAAAATTAATATCACAATATCAACTTTTAATGACGTAAAAATATCTGGTAATTTTTTTTCTTCTTATACAGTATACCATATTGACATACTAAATGGGTTCTTCTGTTTAACTTCTACATAAGTCCAGAACCCAGGACCTGAATTTACACAATTAATGCAACATTTCCTGCAAGAACATCTCCGTATTTTTATATGGACTGGATTAGTCAATAAAAAGTGATCAAAATGTCTGATATATATTTTATGTAATCATTGCAATGTCTAGTAAAAGTGTAGTTACTGTGTGAAAACTCATCAAATTTGATGTCGTTCTTGTTATGCCTGTTTTACAATATTACATCTTTTGGCTTTAGTTGCAGCAGAAAAAGCATGTTATGTCAGGTCATCGTAAGTTGTTTGAGTATTTTCTTCGTTGAAGTCTGAATTTAGACCAGATTTTAATACATTAACTGCTAATTGGAGCTCTACTCATTTAAGTATCAATGAAGACTGGTAGATTTTCAGGTAGAATCCAACAGTCCCAGTGGCATAGGCGAAAAAATGAATTTCCCACCCTGGTGTGTACTAAAGATAAAGTAAAATAAATCCAGAGTTAGACATCAGAGTTATGAAACATGCACTGCTAAATACTCATGTAAAGTGAAAACGTTCTGTGTAATATGCTTTCTTGTATGGTGGGAGAATGATCTTGTTTTGGCAGCTTACCCTACAAATACATCCTAAGAGCAGCAAAATGACACACTGATTGGCTGTTGTAATGTATTCTGTGACAATTTCTTAGTGAGGATGAACAAGACAACAGGACTAACTGAGGACGGTGGGAGGAATCGTTTTAAGGGGACTGTGGCGGCTCAATGAGACATGAGACAGCTCCCTACAGAGGCTGGTGCCTTAAGTCAGGCTTAGCATAAATTTTACACAGTTCATAATTCAACTGCAAACAATGCCAAGCCAGCAGAAGCAAACAAGGCTTTTCCCCTGTGCTAATACAGTCTCCCTGCGAGGAGCCAGACCAGCTGCTGGTGCTGCGAGCAGGAGGTTTCCACTCAGCCCTCGCGGCAGAGGTGCCACCGTGCATCTGCCACAGACGTCAAAGTCACTGCAATATCCTCGACACCTCTCATTGGCTGACAGAAACAGAAGGAGGGAGAAGAGAGAGACAAGAGACAACTGAATGCATGTTTTGGCTCATCATGTTCTGTACCCAAGACAAGACCTGACAGGATACTAAATAATTAGGTTTCACATTATGCTAAAACGCAGGGTGTAATCCAGAGAGGTCGCCTCTTAAATAAACCGATCATTATGATATGAAAAAATCTATTTGGCACAATTCACAGGTGCCTGCAGACATATAGTGCACTGAATACTTGGTAAATGTTGGCTTTTTTTTTTGTCACATTCAGCAATTGAAACATCCAGGTAATGTGAAGCAGGGTGCTGCACAGCAGAGCTAACAGTGTTTCAGAGGCTTGCTTACAAGCTGGCTGCCAGCATTTTTCCTTCATTTATTTTAACTATGTTTATCTCAAAAGAACTAAAAAAAACCCTTTCTTACTCAATTCATGAAGTTTCTCTGTTGCTTGAGGCAGAGCAGACGAGTAATAGCAGTTTGCCTGGGTGAAAGCTGCCTGTGATGATGCTGCTCTTTGCACAAAGGAGAAGAGTGCAACAAAAGCTGTTAGGCGCCTCTAATTTCTGAGGTGACATTTTATCAATATTGCTACAAAACTTCTCTCCTTAGTTGCTTTCCCTCTTCAATTACAGAGACCGGTGAGTCTTGAGATGTATCCTGAAGGTCAAAGATTTCCCGTGAAGTTCTTCTTATTGTGTCGGAAGTTTTGAAAGCAACTGCTGCAGGTTTCGCATCAATCAGCACTCTGTCGTGTATTCACCTGAATCTAATCTTTGAAATTGAAAATGCTTTTTACATTTTCTATTTTGTAAAGACTTTCAGTGCGAGGATAATCGTGATCAATGATGATAATAACTATAATAATGTGGAGTCTTAACTGTAAAAACAAAAGAGTGCTTTCAGACATGATTGCCAAAATGTGAAGGCAGGCTTTAAGAGGTTGAACAATTCTAAAATGTACCTCTTTCACCGAAAGGGAAACAATTTAATCGACTGACTAATGACTAGTTAAATACAGGTAAAATGTAAAACATTAAAAAACAAGCCATCCCATCTGCTAGCAAGGCCAGCAATAAGTAGAGGTGTAGTGCAGGCAACACTCAGGTATACTGCGTATAGGTATTTGTCCGTTAGTCTCAATTGCATTTCAACTTCTTAATCCCTTCTGTTCTGCTTCAGTCAGTGTAATGCTGCATTTAGTTTTTCTGGCAATAGGCATGGCCCACCCTACTCCGTCTATATTTGGATAATTCTCGTTGTTGCCTTGCTTGGTTGGTTGGGAAATAATTTCCTAGTAAGCCAATTAGAGTCCCAGGAAAAAAAACAACCTGATCTGTGGTCTACTTGCCTGCCTTGTTGGTTTATAATGCGATAACATTTGGCCTTCTGATGAGATTAAATTGATGAAGGACAGAAGGAAGGCAACTGATATTTAAAAAATGCATCAAGGATTTATTTTTTTGTGGCAACAAAGGAACAGAGAATACATTTAATTTATTTAAATTCTTAACTAAATAACTGACAGCTTGACTCTTTAGGAATAGTTCCCTCAAAATACATTATTCTGTAGTTTTCTCCACCTGTAGTCTGTGGGTCAGTATACACCATAGACTGTAAATATGAATGGACGAAGCCTGAGTGACGTCAGCCATCTGTTAAGGCAGGGGGCTCCAGAGGCTCATCGGCAGAAGCCACCATGCTGGAAATCCTGTCTCACTCTAACTTTCATTCAACCGCTACGTACCTACTGTAACTATGGATAACACGTATCGTTCTCAAAATCAAAACAGAGCCTTTTGAAAATAATCCACGCCCCATACGTCCCCTTTCAAAGTGATGACAATAACTAATAAGACCTATTTGGTTTTTTATACCAGGCTGTAAAGATTTGTTAATTTTTGCTGTAAAAATGGCTTATTTGCTTGTTTTGTATATGTGACTTCCAGTGTTTCAGGAGCCAGCCTCTAGTGGAGCAACTGCAGGATTTTGCACTTCCGCATTGGCATCATTTTTCAAGACCCGCTTGGTATACACATGCAAAATCTGCACTTCTTCATAATGTTAATATCATAATGAACCTCACTCCCTGACGTCAAACAGTGGTATTAAGTGTTAATGTGCAAATACTTAAGGCTCATCTTCCGGTGAATTACAAGAGTATTCTGCATGTCACTGCGTATGACACAGGGCGTTTAT